ACAAGGATGTGCTGTACAACATGGGGAATGGAGCCAATATTTTATAATAACTATAAATGGAGTATAACCTTTAAAAATTGTGAATCACTATATTGTGTGCCTGCAACATGTAATACTGTACCTCAACTATGAGGTCGTACAATAAATACATAGATTTAAAAAGACTTACAAAAAAACAACAAAAACAAATGAAAGTACGGCTCCTCTTCAAAAGCTGCAGCTGCCTTCCATGGTCACCACCTAACTTCAAGCTCTGGGGACGGTCCCCAAGCCCCCCGGGATCTGGCCTTACTCTGCATCTGAGGCCTCAGATTCAGTCGCTCTCAAGCGCCAGCTGCAGCAAGCTGCCCGGCACGCAAGGCCCACTCACTGTGCCGTCTGCCCCGCCTCCCTTGACCACCACGTTCTGCAAAGCCTGGTTCAAAGACGGGGCGGTTCCTCTGGTGTCTCCATGTCAAACTAGGTTTCCTCCCGAGTGTCCCAGAAAATGCTAATTGTCTTTCTCTTTAGTATAGAATTTGCACTTAAAAAACAAATTGTCGTTAGTGTGGTTGTCCCCTCCCCAGAGGGACCCTGTGCGGTGGGTGGCGTGCAGAGAGCAGAGTCCACCGATTTCACCAGACTGTCAGTATGCGGACTCCGAAAAGCTAAGAACAACTGCTTTAGGCAATTAAAACAGTCTCTATCAAGAATTATCCTGATGGATATGACTTACTCTTCAGAACTGCCGGAGAGAGGAAGTCCTTTTGAGGACGTGGCATAAAGGGGAGGCAGAACTGGTAAAGGTGTATCGACCTGATTCCGAACCTTCGGGCATGTGGCTCTGTCTGTGAGCTTCTGTCGGATCCTGCTGAATCCTTCACGACTCTTCCCCACGAGACATGGTCTGCTCATCACCGAGTCTATGAAGCGTGGCTTGGTGTCTGGCACACAGCACGACTATGAAGATGTCAGTGGAACTGTGAGGCCTGGGGAGCAATGGGTCTTTCTCTGGAATTCGATTTTCCACCTAAAACAAGGTGGGTCTCTTTGTGAGTTCAGTCTGTGACTATGCGGAGATGAGGTTGCCGTCTTTTAATTTACCACTAGGCGGCGCTATTGGCCCGCCCTTGAGTTCCTCCATTGTCTCCGCCTGCGCGGTGACCGTGCATTATTCAAAAGGATGATTGCTACCAAGTGTTAGACTTACCGTGTATAACGGCACATAAAAGCGATCGATAACGAACGGGGTGGGGCGGATGATTAGCTACATCCGACTCCCTGGTACCTGCTTTTGCGCGGATGGTACCTGCGGGACCGACACCACCTTGCCTACACCCTGAAAGGTTCACAGGTTCGTTGTGAAAACCCACAGGTTGCTGCCAACTATTTCAAAGGGATGTGCCTTCCTCGCTCCATGAGGAGGGTGGGAAATGATTCCTCTACTCCCGCCTGCATCTATTTCCAGCCTCAACTTTAGCGACATTAAACTGCATACCTTACAGAAGTCTGCTCCCACCCCGAGGGATGTGCAGGAAGTTCTAAGCGTGTGGGCAGCAGTGGGAGGAGGAAGTGTGGCAGCCCCCAGCTAGGCTGGGCAGTAGACGAAAGTCGGAGGCTGCTCCCAGCATCCCTCCTCCCCTGCTGTGGTCCTGCCCTCCTGCCTTCCTCAGGTCCCCTTGCTCTAAGCTCTTGCCTCCAGGCGGCAGCACCACATAACGCAAAGCCCTGGAGCCTGGGTCAGGGCAGTGGGGATCTGGCGAGGGCTGTCTAGAACTTCGACTGTGTGATTCTGGGCAAGTTGTTTCCTGTCCTATGTGCAGACTTGTTTCCTCGTCTGCAAAATGAAGATGTTAATGCCTGCTTTATCGGACTATGTGAGGGATCTCCATTTACTGGGATATGCTCTTTCAGTGGGAGGCATTTAGAGAATTAGAAAAAGCCAGGTTCCAGGTCTTAATTTGTTGTGTGGTCCTGGGCAAATCTCTCTGGGCCTGAAATTACTGATCTGCAACAGACAAGGTTGGAACAGCTGATGCTTAAAGTCTTTTCCGTTCCAATCTTTTACAAAATATACCTATCCTGTGTTCTACACCATCACAGCCTTGACCTGGAAAGCGATCGGGTAAATTATAAAGAGTTACGGAAGCAAATACATGAATGGGCAATCAGGATGACCTGGTGTATTCCTCTTGCGTGATTCACTTTTTTACCAGGGGACGGAAATGTCCAATACTCTCTTTTCCTGGTCTGCTGGTCTTACTGTTGCATCTCAGAGACGACTCCCCTGCCCCCGAAGCCGTCTCTAACATCCCCAGGTGATGTCAAGGCTTTTTGATGCTGTTCTTGCGCAGCGGACCTCAAAACCCCCAAATTATATTGTTCATGTGTATGTCTTCGAATTGAGTCTTATTTTTTACCCCGTTCTTACTGCTTTTGATAGCATGGTACAGACAAAACTTTCTTCATCTTGTGATGATACGCACGTGCTCACCTCTATATCTGTAAAGCAGGTATCTGTGGTGGGGCGGTCAATAATTTCCATACTCTCAGCAGGTCATGCAGTGCTTGGCACATGGTAATCACTTGAGAAGAGATTTTTAGATGAATGAATGAGTGAAGAGAGTGGGTGGGAGACAGAATGGATAAACAAATAAATGAATGACCTGTGTCTCCAATAACGGGTTTCAGGCTCCCTGGATGAGGATGGATTTTGAAGAACACAGATGAGAATAATCCTTTTTACGCTGCCTGAACAGAGGATGTCAAGGTCATACATTTGCAATCCCAGGCTCAGTTTTTTTTTTTTTGTATTGTGTGTGTTCAAGTATAGACATCATGTTCTCTTTTATTTTCCTTGAAGGTTAAACTTTTGCTTTTTTTCTTCTGTAAAGATGTTTTAAAATCCCATCTTGAAGCTTTAAAGATTTTTTTCTCGCAGCAGCTAGATATAGATCTATAAAATCCACCCACCTTACAAATGAAAATGATTGATACACATCAGAAAAGTTATCTGCCCCGGATAATAAAACCCAGCTCAAGTCTCTCTTTACAAGATCACTCCAGGAACTTAACTGAAAAGGCAGGTTCCTTGGAGACGCAGTGGTGGGGCATTTAGGAACGAGGACAGTCGGTGGTGGGAAGGGAAAGTCCTATTTGTGTAGGAGACACTGCTGAGTCGTCCCCACTGGAGAACAGCCAGCATCAGCCCTAGTTTTGCACGGGAGGGAATTTGAGGCTCTGATATCTTAAGCAAATTGTCCAAAGATGCACACGCCAGCTGGTGGTACTGACCTCCCGTCAGATTCCTGGACGTGCAGATCCCACCCTCACGCTGTCTGACATCACTGTCGTGAAACTCTGTGAAAAGAGACGTTGGCGGGATTTTTATGCAAAAATTGAGTTCACTTTGCGGTTGTAGGCATCCTCCAGTCCCTCCTTGCCCACGGCGGAGTCCTGCTGTGTTTTTATCACCCACAGAGTTTAAGAGTCAGGGCTGGGCAGTCAGGCAGGGACAGTTTCAAATCCCAGCTCTTCCACTTAACTCATGTAATTTTGGACAAATGACTTAACTAAATCTTGGGGATGATGATGTTGTCTAGTTCATGGGATTGTTTTGAAATTATGTGACAAGATGAATACAAAGTACTTAGAGATGTGTCTGGATATAGTAGGTGCTCAGTCAGTGTTCCCAGGATGAGGTATTGAGACATTCATGGTGTTTTGACTTTTCCCCCTTTGCTTTGTGGCAGGTTCCTCTCAGCCCCACCTCTAGCCCAAGAGAAAGTCCTCTCCTTCCTTAAGATATTTTATTTCAGTCTCCCAGCAGTAGTCTCAATAAATACTGAAATTTATGGCTCCCATTGCGATGAACAGCACCTCTTAGACTAGCACAGTGGACAACCTGCACACAGTTCCCTGTGGCCCTGGACCTCTTTTGGGGGGTGATGGTGGTGGTGGTGAAGCAGTTTCCCCTTCCTGAGAGAGTGGAAGATTTCATGTCTGAGAGGATGGACCTCCTTTGCCCCAGAGAGGAGCTGACCAGTGGATGAAGGCGCAGTCCCTTCTGGGGCTGGAGCTGGAGGCTGACATTCCAGAGCGTAAAGGAACAGGGGCAGAACCCAGAGAAGGAAGAGGGAAGTTCCTGGGCCACCAAGAAGAGGGGTGAGTGTGTTGCCAAAGCAGCAGGACCTTGAGCTGGGGAACAGTGGGAGAGAGCTGAGTGGACTAGGTCCTCCTTTAATGGGGAACTTTGGCTGGAGGGCTCCCCATCAGCCTGGCCACAATTTTCTTAAGTTAACTTTCTCTCCTTTTCAAGTGTCAGAGTGGCATGGTGGCTCTCCCTTCTGTCTCTTTCTCCCTTCCTTTACCCTTTACAAGTGCTTCCCCCAGTAAGTAATGGGAACACCTTATAGCATTTCCTGCTCAGAGCACCCGAACTAACACAGACACCATGATGACTTTGTAGATAATTTAAAACCTTGAATTAAGTAATGCACTGTATTTTCCTATAATAAAAAAAACATTTCATGTATTTCATTTGTTTACCTTTATAAGGAGCTATGACTTACTTTTCCCCAAGGAACCCACCATCACACATGTCCTCCGTCTGTTTTGTTTTCCTGAAGACCTCCCTCCAGGTGCCCTCTGGTCCCTTCCCAGCCTGGAGTGGGCATCCTCAGGCCTGGACGCTGCTCTGTCTAGATTTCCCTTTGCCCTGTGTTAGA